CTGTATATGGAGAAGCAAACAAACCGGAAAAAAAAAAAAAAACAACAACCAAACAACACACCTGGGGTCTCTTCTCCAGCCAGCCTTGCTCTTCTCAACCACTCTGAGATTAACTGATGTTTATCTATCAAGGGCTTCCCTGGGGGCTCAATGGGTAAAGATTCTGCCTGCAGCGCAGGAGACCAGAGTTCAATCCCGTGTTTGGAAAGATTCCCCTGCAGAAGGAATTGGCAACCCACTCCAAGATTCTTGCCTGGACAATTCCATGGACAGAGGAGCCTGGCAGGCTATAGTTCCTGGGATCACAAAGAGTTGGAGATGACTGGGTAACTTTCTTTTTTTTTTTCCACTTTCTGTCAAGAGTAATGGTTTAAATTTGAGGAGTTCTTGGGTTCCTGGTAAAAGCTGCTGGAAATACAGACTTCTGGGCATAACTCTGCCCCCGCAAGCAATGATACACTCTGGATACAATGATCTGCCATTGCAAGGCTCCTACAAGCTTTGTATCAGCACTGATGTACCAGAGCCATGGAGTCCCTGTCTCACACATACTAGCCAAATTCCCTTTGGAAAATTTCCAGGGACATTAGGCATTCATGAAGAGGGAACATTTTGAGTACATTTAGATTAAAGCAAAGGCTCTTCTGTGTCTGCATGGAGGGGAGTTGAGGGGAATGGATGGCTCATCTTGGAGAACCTCCTACAGGTTTTGCAGCCCCAGTAAACTCTGGGAGCTCCTCCTGCCCCCTCTTTTGCCCCTCCCCTTGCCACCCAGTCTAGCACAAGGAAGTGGTTGTCACCTCAAGGCCAAGCACAGCTAATCAAATCTCAGGGTGGGAAGGGCTGCTGTGGGTGACCTCGGGGAACCTCAAGGTCATCTAGCACCTCAAGCATTTTGCAGAATGGGTTCTGTGGGATGTTACCATGGAGTATTAGAGGGACAGTGTTTCCATGGTCAACGCTAGTTGAAATGAAGTCACAGAAGCTTCTTCTCCACAGGACTTCTTGGAGGTGTTCATGTGAGTAGGGGATCTTTCAGAACAGGGCTTGTCCACTCATCTGTCGATGGACATCCAGGTTGCTTCCACGTCCTGGCTGTTGGAAATAGCGCTGCAGTGAACGCTGGGGTGCACGTTTGTTTGTTTTTGAGGTTTACTTGTTTATTTTTGGCCGCTCAGGGTCTTCATTGCTGTTGCCAGGGTTTCTCTAGTGGAGACAGGTGGGGCTCCTCCTCAGTGTGGTGTGCGCGCTTCTCCTTGCAGTGGCTTCTCCTGTGGAGTCGGGCGGGGGCTTCAGGAGCTGTGTGCACAGGCTCAGTTCCTCCGAGGCGTGTGGAATCTTCCCGAACTGGGAATCGAACTTGTGTCCCCTATGTTGGCAGGCTGACTCTTAACAGCTAGACCACCAGGGGAGCCTGACATGTGTCTTTTTCAGTTATGGCTTTCTCTGGATATATGCCCAGGACTGGGATTGTTGGGTCACATGGTAGTCCTATTTTTAGTTTTTTAAAGACCCTCCATACTGTTCTCCACAGTGGCGGCACCAGTTTCCTTTCCCGTCAGCAGTGTTGGCGAGCCCTCTTTCCTCCACACCCTCTCAGGCAAGGTCTGTATGTACATATACATTCATACATATTCGTGGTACAGCAAAAACTACCACACAGTGTAAAGCAACTATACCCCAACTGAGAAAAAAGAAAACCCTGTGATTAAAAAGAAAAATGAATGAGGTGTGTGCTCTGCTTCCCAGATAGGAGATGAAGGAACCTTTTGTTCCGGGAACATCTGAGACTTACCGAACATCCCGTGAAAACCCTGATCTAGTTCTCCTTGCTGTGCAGACAGCGCCAGCCTCATGGCAAGCGACCGCACAGTCACAGGACCCCGGCTGTCACCGTCGTGAAACTCTTAGTAAGCTCTGAACACGGGGACTCTGTTACCTGAAAACTGGGTTCGCTTGTTGGTGGGTGTTGAGCCAATGGGCACAACCAAGTCAAAGATAGGGGAAGGAAGGATTTATTACTTGCAGCAGGTAAGAATAATACCTGGGATCTTCCCCAAAGTAGGGTCTCCCCAAACAGCAACACTGGGGAAGTTTTAAGCAAAAGGGTGTGTGCATATTCATGAAGGAGGTTGGGCAGAGGAAAATTTAGCATAGAATTTGGCTAAAGAGTGACAGAGAGTTCTTTAGTTGAATGAAGCAAGGAGGGTCAACATCATCCTTCTTTCCTCCCGCTGAGAGGAGGGCTTAGTTCCTACAGAATGCAAGGACAGGTATCATATCATTACAGATCTCTATTTACTTATCTGTCTCACCTGAAGAGGAACTAGAACTCTGTATTATTGCCCAACTGTTGTTTCCTGACAGCTTGTCCTTCCTTTCGTCTTCCCTCACTTCCCGTAAGATCCTTGATTGCTGAGACCTGTTCAAGGGCAAGCACTGGGCCAGCTTAGATCACAAAATGGCTTAGGTCAAAATGGCTTCTCTGATGTCAAGAAAGCCATGGCTGGTTCTCTTTCTCCAGGAACTCCCCACCCCCACCCATCCCGACCATATCTGCTTGCAGCTCCACTCTTGGGCTTTGCACATGCGTGCTAAGTTGCCTCAGTCATGTCCAACTCTTTGTGAGCCCATGGACTGTAGCCTGCCAGGCTTCTCTCTCCTTGGGTTCTTCAGGCAAGAATACTGGCGTGGGTACTGGGCCCCGTAAATGATGTGGCTGTCCCTGTCTATGGAGGCCCCAGAGGAGGTTTGTATTCTTTCCTCCTCATCTCTCCACGTGCTTCTTAGCTTCCTCTTCCCACCTGTGCTGCCTCCTCCTCCTGTATCTCCTCCTGCTTCCCTGCCCTCTGCACCATCTTCCCCCTTTACTCTCCGTCTTCTCCTCGTGGACACACGCTCTTTTCTCCAGCCCAGTTTTATTTTATTTTTATTATTAATTATTTATTATTTATACTATATGTTATATCATTACTTTATAATGTTATTTATTATTATTAATTTTATTATTAATTATACTATAATATACATTATATTATTACTTTATAATATTATTTAGTATTAAAAATATTTCATTATCATTTATTATTTATACTATAATATATATTATATTATTATTTTATAATATTATTTATTTAAAATTATTTTTATCTTTTATTTTATTATTATTTTTGAACTTTATTTGTTTTGGCTGTGCACTGCAGTGCATGGGCTTAGCTGCCTCTAGGCAGGTGGGGTCTTAGTTCCCTGACTGGGGATCAAACCCATGTCCCCTGCATTGGGAGATGGATTTCGTAACCCCTGGACCACCAAGGAAGTCCCTCCAGCCCAGTTTTTAAAAAATCACTGGAATCAAGTTCTCTAATGCTTTCTTAGCTCTCTTTGCACTTTTTCTGTTCGGATGTACTGCTTGCTTGAGCAAAGGTTCAAGCTCTGGAGGGTGGTCAGTTATACTGAACTGTGCTGTTGAAATAATCCCGGATGTTACTGCTCCATGCCTGGCACTCTAGTTTGTATCTAGGAACTCAGGGAGATGGGCAGAGCCCGCAGAAGAAAGTGGGAAGAGAACATATTCTGACGGTAATGGAAGCGGCCCTCTCCAAGACTAATAGCCTCTTTTGTCTAAAGGTATCACATTGATGGTTTGAAGTGAAATGTTGTTTCTTCCCTCGTGGCTCAGACGATAAAGAATCTGCCTGCAATGCAGGAGATTCCTGGGTTGGCAAGATCCCCTGCTGAAGAGAACAGCTACCCACTCCAGTATTCTTTGCCTGAAGAATTCCATGGACAGAGGAGCCTGGCAGGCTACAGTCCATGGGGTCGCAAAGAGTCGGATGAGACTGAGTGACTTTCACTTTTCACAGTTAAAGGAAAGGATGCGCGCAGAACCCCTCAGCCCATCAACGGAAGATTCAGACTGAAGCTGGGTTACAGCATCTCTTACTGACAACTCGGGAGAACCTACTTACCACCACAAGGCAAACTTCCCTGAAGGCTTTCCTCAAAGACCACTCATCCTGTCCAAGCCTACTTCCACCTCGCTTCCTTACCTTTCATTGTCAATGTGTTTGCTTTTGTTTTGCAAGTAATGTACATTTAAATCAAGCCAGTATAAGAAAGGAAAAGGAGATATACTGTTTCCTTATAACTGAGCAATAAGTAAGGGTTGGGAACGCTTCGGATATAGCCGGATTCAGGAGTCCAGTTGAGGTCATCTAGACCCCCTAACCCTCTCCTTCTCTGTGATCCCGCCTTTTCCTCTGGGACACGTTCTTTGTCCAGAGCTCTCCACACGGAGGCCAAGATTGCCCCTAACAGCTCTCATTTTGCACTCTTCATGGCTTATGATCTAGAGAAAAATATCATTCCCCCAAGTGTTCCCCTAGCAAAACCGGAGGGGAGATTCTGATTGGTCCAGCCAGGTTACCCGGCTGAGAAGCCCACCTCTCAGCCAATCACAGTGACGCGGAGAATGCAGTGGGCAGGGATTGGCCACCGAGGGGTCCCTGTGCCCACCCACCTGCGGCAGGGCGGTGTGTAAGAATGAACTCTCCTGCAGTCAGATGGGATGGGTTCTCTTTAAGAAAGAGTTTCTAGTACTCGAAGGAGAGGAAATGTGTGTCCAAAGTGACAACTCGGATGGCTCTCCTCAGCCTGTCCCGTGACTCCACGCTTCCCCTACACTTTGCCTACACCTGCGTGATGGGCTTTTTGTGGCTGTAGTCATTCCCTTTCTCCAGTTTAGCAAGCCCAACCAGGCCCGTCAAGGCTGAACCCATGAGGACCACTCAGAAAGTGCTTTATGGGTTCTTCCGGGAGCCGATGCAACGCTGAAGAAGCTTTACAAGGGCGGCATATCTTTTGTTGAATTGAAAATAGGTATCCTAGCTATCTGTCTTCATCATGCTTACATGGGACTCTCTGCTTTATAGTTGAAAGGATCAAATAGACAGCGAGTTAGTACAAACGATAAGGGGGTGGACTCTACTCAAGAATATCTCCTAGAACCCAAGAACAGCTGGATCCAGGGAACTCGGGAAGACGGGGGCGCTGGGACGAGACCCGTCCCGCAGGTGGCCTGTCCCATCTGTCCATCTGCTCGTGCGCCTCATCTCAGCGGCTGCAGGTGTCTGATCGCTCATTGCTGTGCTCCGTGGGAAGGATGGCTGTCCAGCCCGGCATCCGCACTTTTCAATTCCTGCTCCCACCATGAAACCATGTTCTCTGGGCCTCTTTGCTCCGGTTTCTAGGGAAAAAAATTCACATTTGGTCACTGAGCAGCCAACGTGTTGCTGTCCTTGGGCAGCCCCCATCAGTCCAGTGATCTGTTCACTAGGGTCATGTAGCACTCACATGGTTGTCAGAGCCAATGGTGGGAGCGGGTCTCAGAGGAGGGGGTGTGGGCTGAGCACTTGCCCCCAAATTTGCCTCTTCTGGAGACTTGGAGCAGCTGTTTCACTGGCTAATTGCGTTAAAGCTGAGAGTACTTAGATGACTCATGCAAAGCCGTCCAGCCAGGGAGAGGTGACCAGGGGTCTGCTGCTGTGTTTGGTCATGTCTGATGAAGAGGAGTGTCCAAAGCCCTGAGCAGGGACCAGCACTCTGAGGCCACGAGGCGAAGGGGCAGTTTCCAGGAATGAGGCTGGACTTCAATGGGCCCCACGATGAGCGCTTAACGTAGACCCGGGAGTGGGGAGGAGTGAAGACCCTGAGACTGACTAGCAGGGCCTTGGTGGCCTTCGGGGAAGCAGGTTCGGGGGGTGTTGGGAACATGATGGAGTTAAGGGGAGGTGAGAAACGATGGTAGGAAAAGGAATAAAAGGGAGACGTGGATTCTGAGAAACTACAAATGGTGAAGCCTTGGGCCATGCTCTGGCATTATGGACTGTGCTTTCTGCGCTACTGTGTGATAGAATGTTCCAAAATAGTGGCCTGTTCAATCATTAAGTTAAAAATGAGTGGAAGGAAGTCCTCAGCGTGGTTCCTAGGTAAGCATTAAGTCCTGAGACTCTGACATACTTCAGAGAAACCAGGAAGTATGTGGTCAGTAGGATTTGGGTTGAAAAGGTGCCTGAGACAGAACAAAGTTCATTATTAACACAAGATTGTTAACCCAGGCAAAAACCTTTTTCTAAGTTATAGGGAATTATCTTATTTTTTGTGATATTAAATGCATATTGCTCTCCAAAATTCTTCATCAGTTAGGAATATTCTTAGCTGCTCATAATAGACAATCTAAATGAATAATAAGAAACATAATAAAAAATATAAATTTAATAAACTAGATAATATACCTCTGTCTCAGCAAAAAAAGGCTGGACAGAGGCAAGCATGTACATGTACAGAGATGGCTCAGATGATCATCCATGTCATCCAATATTCAGCTGCTGCTAAGTTGCTTCAGTCGTGTCCGACTCTCTGCGGCCCTACAGACAGCAGCCCACCAGTCTCCCCCATCCCTGGGATTCTGGAGGGGGAATACTGGCATTCATCCCTGCCAAGAATACTGGAGTGGGTTGCCATTTCCTTCTCCAATGCATGAAAGTGAAAAGTGAAAGTGAAGTCGCTCAGTCGTGTCCAGCTCCTAGTGACCCCATGGACTGTAGCCCACCAGGCTCCTCCGCCCATGGGATTTTCCAGGCAAGAGTACTGGAGTGGGTTTCCATCGCCTTCTCCAACATTCAGACCCTTATTTTTATTTCACTCTGGTTGGCTTTTCATTTGTGTAATAGTCACCTCATGGTCACAATATGGCTGCTGCAGCTCCAAAAGAAAGGAGAAGAGAGGCACCAGCAGGCTGTCTTCCTGCATTTGTCTCTTTTTATCAGGAAACACATTATCTTTTTCAAAACCATGCCAGCAGTTTTCCTTATGTGTCAGTAAAGAGACTAGGAAACTTGGCCAGTGTATTTGCAATTCAAGTTGGAAGTCCATCTTTATATCCTTGCCATGTTGAGCTCGATTGTGATCTAACCCCTAGGGATGTGCCAGGGTTGGCTGCATTCCATCTGAGCAACATCTGTGTTCCAATATCAAGGAGGAAAGAGTGAAGGCCACCAAGAACATCTGTCCTCTCTGCTAGTGATACTGTTTTCCTAGTAGGTGTCCTCACAGTGGAAACAAATAATGCTGAAGATTTTGCACCCATGGTAGCTCATGTATTGAGTTAAGGTGACTAAGATTGGGACTAAGTCACATCTCAACACAAAGCACCAGGGAACACGTCAGAACACCAACTTGCCACTTACCTTGACTTTGCAGATAGAGTGCTCTCTAGTAAAAGAGTGATTTTTAAATGTCATGTCTTACTCTTGGTTCATACTAAGGGTTTTGATCCACAACAAATATGCAATTACTCTGTAACATGTCGTGAGTTGTCACTGATGTTGGTTTTTTAAGAACGGAAGTGTCACTCATACCCACTGATACCATTTGCTGGGGGATTGCTCTGGACAAAGTATGCCTCACTGGGCTTGTTTTCTTTCCTCTTCATTTTCAAATTCATATTTACTACTTCCAAAGAATGTGTAATTGAGAAATTTGTTCACTTCAGGTTTCATAAAAGGTTAGCTGATTCACTGACATTAAAAACAAAAGAGTTAACGTAGGAGTCATGTTCAAGTAAATGAATATGTTTCAAAATCTAGTAGTTGCCCAAGCACAGGCTCCCAGGGGCTGGAGGCCTGGTGAGAATCTTGGCCCATAGAGGGGCTTGTAACATGTCCAATGACTGTGGCCTTGCAGGGATTTAGGCTGAGTCTGGACAGATCTGCTTTAAAAAAAAAAAAAATCCAGAAACCTGAATTTTGAAGAATTCTCTCAATTTTTTGAATATTGGCAACAAAGTCTTGAAATTTTAAAACACTGAGGGAGGAGGAAAGGGCAACCCACTCCAGTGTTCTTGCCTGGGAAGTCCCATGGACAGAGGAGCTTGGTGGGCTATATAGTCCATGAGGTCTAAAAAGAGTCAGACCCAATTTAGCAACAAGACAAGGACAAGAACAAGAAGAACAACATCCAGATGTCAGCATAAAAAAGTGGTTCTAGGTGAATCTCTCTAGAGTCCCTGAGAGAAACACACATGAACCTAGAAGAATACAACTTCAAACCTAAGCTGCCGAAGATTTCTGCTGGAGACATACTCGCAACCAAAATCCAGTAATGGCAAAGTACAACAGACAAACAGAAAATTTAACCCTCCTGAAAGTTCATTGAACCACCAGGCAGAGACTCAATCAGCATGTTTCACATGATTAAGCAAAAACAACACAACAAGAAGGGACTGAGGGCTTCCCTGCTGACTCAGTGTAAAGAATTCGCAGGAGACGTGGGTTCTACCCCTGGGTCAGGAAGATCCCCTGGAGACGGGTATGGCTACCCACTCACCGGCCGATTCAGTGAGAGGGTTGCTCCTTTCCCACATCAAGAGGACCCCCTCCTTTGAGAGGTAAGATCGTGGAAGCCCAGGGCAGAAAGGGAGCAGACTGGACTTGGGGAGCTCTTTGGGCCGCACAGGCGCTCCCTTCATTGAGACATTAGTGGCTTCCCCAGGTGAGCAGGAGCTCAGGTAGACTCTGGGTTCCCCTTCAGGATGGAGAATTTCCTACACCAGTTGCTGGAAAGTTGTCCACTGACAGCTCACAGCTATAAGCCCTCTTCAGAAGCTGACTTCACTCCAGAAAGTGGCCTCCACAAGATCCATCCTCCCGCACCCCGCTTTGTCCTGAGAAGCCAGCCCGGCTCTGAGCTCCCCCTGGTGGCCTAGGCCCCTTCCTTGAGACTCCACAGCAGCAAGATCCCGCTCCCCGCCCGCCCCCCCCCCCATGCCCATCCATGCCGTCTCCTCCCCAGAGGCTCCTTCCTGATCCCCAAGACTCTCCCTGCAGGCTAATCCCTAACGCAGCTCCTGCCTCCCCTGGAAGATGCCCTGTAACCCTTAGCTCCTCTCTGTCTCCTTTCTGTGTCCCAAGTTAAGTGTATTTTACCTTTTTTTTTCATTTTTGGCCATGACACGTGGCATGTGGGATCTTAGTTCCCCAGCTAAGGATGGGCCCAGTGACCCTTGTGGTGGAAGCGTGGAGTCTTAACCCCTGGACTGCCAAGGAAGTCCTAAAGTCAGTATATTGTTTAGAATATTTCTCCTTTTCTTTTTTAAAGATTTTTAGTTACTGGTTCCAAATCGGAAAAGAAGTATGTCAAGGCTGTATACTGTCATCCTACTTATTTAACTTATATGCAGAGTACATTATTCAAAATGCTGGACTGGATGAAGTGCAAGCTGGAATCCAGATTGCCGGGAGAAATATCAATAACCTCAGATATGCAGATGACACCACCCTTATGGCAGAAAGTGAAGAAGAACTAAAGAGCCTCTTGATGAAAGTGAAAGAGGAGAGTGAAAAAGTTGGCTTAAAGCTCAACATTCAGAAAACTAAGATCATGGCATCTGGTCCCATTACATAATGGCAAATAAATGGGGGGTCCCATCACTTCACGGCAAATAGTTGGGGAAACAGTGGAAACAGTGGCAAACTTCATTTTTCTGGGCTCCAAAATCACTGCAGATGGTGATTGCAGCCATGAAATTAAAAGACGTTTGCTCCTTGGAAGAAAAGTTATGACCAACCTAGGCAGCTTATTAAAAAGCAGAGTCATTACTTTGCCAACAAAGGTTCATCTAGTCAAAGCTATGGTTTTTGCAGTGGTCAGGTATGGATAGGAGAGTTGGACTATAAAGAAAGCTGAGCACCGAAGAATTGTTGCTTTTGAACTGTGGTGTTGGAGAAGACTCTTGAGAGTCCCTTTGTCTGCAAGGAGATCAAACCAGTCAATAGTAAGGGAAATCAGTCCTGAATATTCATTGGAAGGACTGATGCTGAAGCTGAAGCTGAAGCTCCAATACTTTTCCCACTTGATGGCGAAGAACTGACTCATTTGAAAAGATTCTGAGGCTGGAAAAGATTGAAGGTGGGAGAAGAAGGGGACGACAGAGGATGAGATGGTTGGATGGCATCACTGACTCAATGGACATGAGTTTGAGTAAACTCCAGGAGTTGGTGATGGACAGGGAGGCCTGGTGTGCTGCAGTCCATGGGGTTGCAGACATGATTGAGCAACTGAACTGAACTGTTGTTCCATGTCCAGTTCTAACTGTTGCTTCTTGACCTGCATACAGATTTCTCAGGAGTCAGGTCAGGTGGTCTGGTATTCCGATCTCTTTAAGAATTTTCCACAGTTTGTTGTGATCCACACAGTCAAAAGCTTTGGCGTAGTCAAAAAGCAGAATAGATGTTTTTCTGGAACTCTCATGCTTTTGATCTTGGCAATTTGATCTCTGGTTCCTCTGTCTTTTCTAAATCCAGCTTAAACATCTGGAAGTTCACGGTTCATGTACTGTTGAAGCCTGGCTTGGAGAATTTTGAGCATTACTTTGCTAGCATGTGAGATGAGTGCAATTGGGCAGAAGTTTGAACATTCTTTGGCATTGCCTTTCTTTGGAGTTGGAATGAAAACTGACCTTTTTCAGTCCCGTGACCACTGCTGAGTTTCCCCGATTTGCTGGCATACTGAGTGCAGCACTTTCACAGCATCATCTTATAGGATTTGAAATAGCTCAGCTGGAATTCCATCACCTCCACTAGCTTTGTTTGTAGTGATGTTTTCTAAGGCCTACTTGACTTTGAATTCCAGGATGTCTGGCTTTAGGTGAGTCATCACACCTAGAGTTGTTGGAAGAGGATATTTGCTATGACCAGTGCATTCTCTTGGCAAAACTCTATTAGCCTTTGACCTACATGGTTCTGTACTCCAAGGCCAAATTTGCCTGTTTTCTAGGTAGCTCTTGACTTCCTAATTTTGCATTCCAGCCCCCTATAATGAAAAGGACATCTTTTTTGGGTGTTAGTTCTAAAAGGTCTTGTAGGTCTTCATAGAAATGTTCAACTTCACCTTCTTCAGCATTACTGGTTGGGGCATAGACTTGGATTGCTGTGATATTGAATGGTTTGCCTTGGAAATGAACAGAGATCATTCTGTTGTTTTTGAGATTGCATCCAAGTACCATCCAGGTAAGCATACTCTTTTATGCTTATATATTTTGCTGTTTTGTATACATTTTCTCTTTGGGATAAAAACCAGTGTTTATTGCATGAAACAATTATTCCTGTTTTTGTTTTTTTGACCAGGAGGGATTATTTTGTCTTTTATTAGATGGCTATGAGAAATTACTTACAGGGGTGGGGTGGGAGGGAGGCCGCTGAGGGAGGGGAACATATGTATATTTATAGTGGATTCATGTTGTACAGCAGAGACCAGCACAGCATTGTAAAGCAGTTATCCTCCAATTAAAAATAAAAATAAAATCATTCACAGTGAAGAAACATCTTAACAATAATGTCCAAGCTCTTTATTTCCAATCGGGAATTATCTTAGAGTGGTGGCTAGGGGAAAAATAGTTGTGAACATTTTACATTTCCATCAGCTGTCCAAAGAAATAATACAGATGTAATAAAGAAATATATGGGGGAAGATATTTGGGAAAATCATTTGCAATAACAGGTATTCTGAGAGCCTGGAATGTTCCTTCCTACATACCACAAGTTTTGAGGTGATCAAAGCAACACTTGTTTTAGAAAGAAAAAGATAATAGTGTAAATGCTGAAAGGAATGAATAATGCAGCTATGGAAAGGACTCTGTAGACAGAACTGAGTCACAGACATGGAATAATTCGGCATATTCAGAACCCTGTGAGAAAAGGGGACTTTTTCCATCTCTGCCTCCTGCCTGGGGCTCCCTCACCCTCCCTGCGGCTCCTATACGTTTTTGATTCTAAAGCTGTAAAATCATGATTGTCCTTCACTCTCAGGCTTTTAAAAGAAACACTTTTGGATGTCTCCATTACACGTTTTCTCCTTTCTTTTCAAAAGGAAGAAAGGAAAGGCTTCAGAGGGTAGGAGACACCTTTTCAGTGACCCTTAGAACCAACTAAAGAATTCAATTCAATCCAACAAAGGGTGACTCAGCTAAGAAGACTCACCCAAACACGATGGGCAAAGGGTGTTGGATGATGATTTTGAATCCCCAGATGTTGTGTTTATTCTTCACCTTTTAGAAGAGGTGGTGTGAAGCTGGTAATTGCTATGGACTGAATTGTGCAACCCCCCCCCCCCAATGCCCCCGCCCCGCCACCTGCCCGTGTTGAAGCCCTAACACTCAGGACCCCATTGTGACTCTGGAGACGGGGCTTTTAAAGAGGTGATTCCACTAAAAGGGGCTCCTTAGTGTGGGCCCTAATCCCAGAGGACGGGTGTCCTTATGAGAAGAGGAGATTAGGACAGAGTGCGAGGCACCAGGGACGCTTTCACACACACAAGAAGAACCACGTGAGCACACGGCGAGAAGGCAGCCCCCTGCAGGCCAAAAAGAGAGGTCTCAGGCCCGCAGCCCTGCCCACACCTCGACCTCAGCCTTCCAGCTTCCCGAGCAGCAGAGAGAATCCGTTCCCATTGTGTCAGCCGGCCGGTCTGCGGTGCCCACTTAGGGCAGCCCCAGTAATGAATACAGCACGAATACAGTGCACGCTTAGGAAGCTCGACTCTAAAACCACATTGGAGGCACCACTGTTGTGACTTTGCAGCAGCCCCCGAACAGAAATTCTTGGGTTCCAGTGTGGAAGCCGGACACTGGCTCCTGCCACAGGCTCGTTGTTTAGTCCCTAAATCGTGTCTGACTCCTTGTGACCTCATGGACTGTAGCCTACCAGGCTCCTCTCTCCATGGGATTTCCCAAGCCAGAATACTGGAGTGGGTTGCCATTTCCTTCTCCAGGGGATCTTCTGGATCCAGGGATCGAACCTGCATCTCCTGCATTGGCAGTCAGATTCTTTACCACTGATCACTAGCATTGTCCTTCCAGCCTGGCAGGCAGTATTCAGTTCTTGCTTTGACCCCTTTGTCTCTTTCACTGTGCACTTTGGAAGACTGGGGAAGCGCCTTCAACCCCAGATGTAACCCAGCACAGAGGAGGCAGTTTTAAATGCTGGTTGAATCAGGTACTCAGTCACTCATTTGTGTCCGACTCTTTGTGGCCCCTATGGACTCTTTTGACCCTATGGACTGTAGCCCACCAGGCTCCTCTGTCAATGGGATTCTCCAGGCAAGAATGCTGGAGTGGGTTGCCATGCCCTCCTCCAGGAGATCTTCCCAACCCAGGGGTTGAACCCAGGCCTCCCGCACTGCAGGCAGATTCTTTACCATCTGAGCCGCCAGGGAAATCTATGGGAGGTAATTAAGGTAAATGAAACCATAAGGGTGGGGGCTAGTCCACTGGGGCTGTTGTCCTCTAAGAAGAGGAAAACGGGCTTCCCTGGTAGTCCAGTGGTTAAGACTCCGCACTCCCAGTGCAGGGACCTCGGGTTCAATCCCTGATCAGGGAACTAAGATCCCACAAGCCACACAGTGTGGCCAAAAAAAAAAAAAGAGGAAGAGATGTCAGAGATCTCTCTCAGGAGAAATCACAGTGAGAAGATAACTGTCTGCGAGACAGTTCGCGCAGCAGGACAGTTCTCATCAGAAACCAACCCGGCCACCACCTTGAACTTCTAGTCTCCAGAACTGGAAGAAAATGAATTTCTTTCATCTATTTTAAGTGAAAGTAAATGTGTCAGTTACCTCATCTATACTATTCTGTTAATGGCAGCCCAGGATGATGAATACAAGGGCAACTAAGCACAGAGACATTAAGTAACTTGCCCAAGGTCACAGAGCTGGCAAGGAGGAGCAGCAGGATCCGTCTTAGCGCAGAGTCTCTGCTTTTAACCACCAGATTCTGGCTTTAACTGCTGCCTCTCTAGGCAGTGTGTGTGTGTGGGGGGGGGGGTGGGGCGGGAGGGCATCACCGTCATATGGATGGAGACATCTTATTCTGAGGGCAGAGGTTGATTTCTGGGGCCCCACTGCACTGGTCTGCCATCCCGTGAGGCCCTGGTGACTGTTGTGCTGAGGCTGCATGGCCAAGCTCCAAGCGCCTCTCCATGCCCTTCAGGGAGACTTCTGCAGGATGGAGAAGAAGCGCCTGGTCGGAGGCAGGTAGAGCTGCAGACACGGGCTCCTGCGTGCTCTGTCTATTGCACGTTGCCCAGGTCCTGGAGGCGTGGGAAAGGCCCTGCCGACCCCACCCCCACCCCCAGCACCATTCCACCCCACCCTCACCTGCGGCAGCAACCCTGAGCATTGTCGGTAAGTGAAGAGAGACTCTCAATAAGCTTCCATCTGGTAAATCACCCAGAGCCCCACCACCATACAGTTGGTGTAATTTGTTTCAAGAAGTGCCTTTGTTCTTTCCCATGTGCTGGGTTGGCCAAAAATTCTTTCGGGTTTTTCCCTAACATCTTATCCAGTAGACCAATTAAAGATCAGGCTGGGGGGACTTCCCTGGAGGTCCAGTGGTTAAGACTCTGGGCTTCCACTACAAGGGGCGTGGGTTCAGGCCCTGGTTGGGGAACTGAGATCCCAAATGATTCATGGCCAGGAAAAAAAAAAAAAATCAGGCTGAGGCAGGTGGAGGTGAAAAATAATCAAGTTGGTTTTTATTTGGAGACCTGAGGGTGCATCTCTGGTAACAGTTTTATTTACTGATTTGAAGTTGATTTGCAAGGTTGTGGTAACTTCTGCAGTACTGCAAAGTGGCTTGGTTATACATGTGTATACAAACACGCATTCTTTAAAAAATTTTTTCCTTATGGTTTATCATAGGATATTGAATATAGTTCTCTACGCTCTACAGAAAGACCTTGTTGCTTACCCATTCTATACGTAAAAGCTTACACCTACTAATCCCAACCTCCGCTCCATCCCTCTCCCAACCTCCTCCCCCTTGGCAAGCACTGAGACGTTCTCTAGGTCCAGGATTCTGTTTCTCTCCTGCTCATCGTTTTTAATGCTCAGCTCTTGCCCCTCATTTAGAGGTCTTTTTATCCCCCTTCGGTTGTTCCCTTGCCTTGAAGTTTCTGAAACGCTCCACAGTCCCTTTCCTCCTGCCAATTCTGCAGAAGTGTTCTTGCTGCTCAGAGCCTGTTCACAGCCAAATGCAAGGGTTTCTCCACAAACTGCCATTTCAGTGAAAACACAGAAAATAAAATGCAATCAAGCACATTACAAAGGGGAGGCCTTGATGAGGCCAGATTTGCCTGGCCCTGCCTCTCTGACCTTGACTTTCTTTGTGTTGGTTGGGCTGGTTAGTTTGCATATTGAGACTTCCTTGGTTTTTTTGTAACTGATGGCTTGTCATGACGGAGAAAATGTCCTGGCTTCCTAAGTCCTCTTTTGAACCCTTTTTCACCCTCCTCCCTACATCTGTCCTCAGGGGAGAGAGACTTGGTTAAGCAAATTCTTTTACTAAGAAGTTACTTTACATATTGCCATTGCTCCCAGGTGATGCATTTTCCCAGAGGGCTGATGTTTCCTAGACACTGTGCGCACACGGATCACCGGAAGCTTTTACTGTGCCGGATTTTCGGGTTCAGTGTGTCTGGGATTGGGCCCCCCCACTCCCAGACCCTGCATTTCTGACACCAGGTGGTGATGTTGCCGCTGGCTGGCCGGCCCCACTCTGAGTCGCCAGCCTGTAGAGGGATGCCGAATGGTTGGAAGGGACTCCGCTGGGATGGGCATTAGCCAGGGTTCTCCAAAGAAGCAAACCAACAGGGGATAGCTAGATATAGACGTACTCAGATGACCCCATGGACTGTAGCCCGCCAGGCTCCTCTGTGCATGGGATTCTCCAGGCAAGAATACTGGAGTGGGTTGCCATGCCCTCCTCCTGGGGATCTTACGGACCCAGGGATCAAACCCTCACGTCTTGTCTCCAGCACTGGCAGGCAGCTTCTTTACCACTAGCACCACCTGGGAAGCCCACAGGTACGTGAAGAGGTTTATCGTACGAAAGTGGCTCATGTGATTGTGGAGGCTGAGAAGCTCCCAGACTTGTGACTGGCAAGCTGGAGACCCAGGAGGGCTGCCTGTGTCGGTTCCCGTCGGAAGGCCAGCAGGCTCAGGCCCGAGACGAGCTGCGGTTTCAGTCTGAATCTAAAGGCAGGAAAAGACTGATGTCACCGCAGGCCTCATCAGGCAGGAGGAATCCCCTCCCTCTTCCTCTCAGAAGGGTCAGCCTTCTGGGTCTACCCAGGCCTTCCACTGATTGATCGAGGCCCACCAACATTAGCAAGGGCAGTCTACTTTCCTTAGTCTGCTGATCCAGAAGTGGATCTCATCCAGAAAACACCCTCACAGACATGCTGAAAGTAATGTCTGGCCAAGCGTCTGGGCGCCCCTATGGCCTGGTCCAGCTGACACGTAAGAAGAAGGCGCACAGGATGGGAGTGTGCGTCCTCCTCTGGGGCCTTCATGGGATTCTCTAATGAGAGGGTCCACGTGGGTCTGCTCCCGAGCTGAGTGTTCATCGGTGCACCGCCTCTCCGAGCTCTCAAGGGCATCTCTCTACATAATATTAACACCTGGCCAGGTCCCATCCATTCTGACAGATAAAGGACAGACGCTACTGTACATTCATGTGCAGCCTTTTTATTTCATTATAGTGAGTGCCTTCTGTGGGAAAGTATAACCTGAGGGTCAAGGAAGACCCAGGGCAAGACACTCTGGGGTGGCAGGGGTGTGGAAGGGACAGGCTGCTTAATATGTGGGGCCAGGAGCAAAACAAGAATGGTGCAGTTTCATTGCTCAAAAATTTAGATTTTTCAAGACAGCAATAGCAGAGCAATAAGCTAAGTGTGGGGCCCTTCTGAGTGCAGGACTCTGTGGGAAGGCATGGTTCGTATGCCCATGAAGCTGGTCCTGGGTGTTGGGGAAGGGAATAGTACAGTGGAAGGAGGGGAGAGTCAGCTTAGGGGCCAGATGGAAATGCTGGGGCACCAACCTGCTTCTCTTTGCTTTTCTTTTTCCTTCTCTTCTTTCCTCCCTCCCTCCCTCCTTCCCCACTCCCCTTCCTCTCCCCCCTCCTTTTTTCCCTTTCCTTCCTTCCTACAAGGCAGGTTACAAAATCATACCACTTTCAGTGAGATAATGTGTTCATCATCCCCTATATGTGTCATTCCACAGATACTTATAAATTAAACCAGTTTGTGTCATTTTTATGTCATTTCATTTTTTTTTTTTTTTTGTATTGCCGTACCCACTCCAGTATCTTTGCCTGGAAAATCCCATGGACAGAGGAGCCTAGCAGGCTACAGTCCATGGGGTTGCAAAGTGTCAGACATGATTGAAGCGACTTAGCACATGGTTGACATACAATATTATATTAGTTTCAAGTGTACAACGTAGTCATTTGGAATGTATACAAATGACATACATACAGATTGATCACCACGGTAAGTCTAGTAACCTTCTGTCCCCATACAAAATCATTACAGTTTTATTGACTATATTCCCTGTGCTGTATATTACATCCCCATGACTTATTTATTTTGTAACTTCAAGTCTGTACCTCTTGATCCCCTTCATCTGTCTTACCCAACCTCTCCTCTATGGAAGCCACCTGTCTGCTCTGAGTCTGTTTCTATTTTGTTTGTTTTGTTTTTTAGACATATAAGCAAAATCATACAGGAATTGTCTTTGTCTTATTTCACTTAGCACAATATCCTTTAGGTCCATCCATGTTGTTGCAAATAGTGAGATTTCATTCATTTTTTTTTTTTTAACAACTGAGTAGTATTCCATTGCATATAGATACCACATCTTCTTTAAACATTCATCTATTGATGGCTATTTAGGTTGCCTCCATACCTTGGCTCTTGTAAATAATGCTGCAGTGAACATGGGGCACCTATATTTCTAAAATCAGTGCTTCTGTTTTCTTATGTCACTCTTTAAATTTTGTTGCACTGGTGGCTACAGTCAGAATCCTATTTATCTAAGGCTGCTGCTCTGTGGTTGGGGGTTGGATGGCAGTCTAAAGTTAGGAGGTCCTTGTAAACACTCAGTTTGGATTTTAAAGTAGTTTTCCAACTGTTTCTCAGAATACACCATAAAGCTCTAGAAGAGTGACTTTCAAAAGAAAACCATCCCAAGAATGGCTTACTAGGAGGCAGAGATTCTGCTTTCTCCTTCCCTATTGTCAGCACCTTGGTATTCATTTGTGACCTGGCTGATTGGTTAGAGAAAAGCTCAGGAAGATAAAAAAACAGATGTCCCTGCCAGTAAGATATGACTAACTAGAATTTTCTGATGCTAGTTCTCAACTCAGACTGTCTGCTAATCTTTGAGGCAATCTGTTGGGTCAAGGGGGTTCTTGGTAAGAGATTGAGGGTGACTCAGAGTAAACTCATCAACAGCTGCTTTGGAAAACCAGTCACCTCTTTCCCCTGGCTGCTCCCCAAGTAAATGATAAGTCAACCAGTAAGTTGTTTTGTGGATAGTATTTCTTTTTTTTTTTTATTATGTATTCAGTTTTTTACTGTGGTGTGTAGCATGATGAATCTTAGTTCTCTGACCAGGGATCAAGCCCATGCCCCTGCTTTTGAAGCATGGAGTCTTAAGCACTGGACCGCCGGAGAAGTCCCAAGACATGTGTGTTTAATAAACTGCCTCACATCCTTTTTAAAACAGGCCACTCACAAATAGATGACAGAAAAGAAAGTAAGTGCCAAACTCTTCATAGTAGGGAACACAGGAGGCTAACTTATTCATTCTGTAAATATTTACCAAGCAATTACTTTGTGCCATACACAGTTCTAGACACCAGAATTGCAGCAGGAAACAAAACAGACCTCAGTTCTGCCCTCTGGGAACATCTGCTTGAATGGAACGCGGAGGTAGAAATGCAGGGCTGCCTAGAGAGGAGGGTATGGGCTTATCTATGTGGTTTAGGTCTGGGGAGACAGTGGTGTTGGAGAAGACTCTTGAGAGTCCCTTGGACTGCAAGGAGATCCAACCAGTCCATCCTAAAGGAGAGCAGTCCTGGGTGTTCATTGGAAGGACTGATGCTGAAGCTGAAGCTCCAATACTTTGGCCACCCGATGCGAAAAGCTGACTCATTGGAAACACGTGGGAAAGACTGAGGACAAGAGAAGGGGACGACAGAGGATGAGATGGTTGGATGGCATCACTGACTCAGTGGACATGAGTTTGAGCAAGCTCAGGGAGATGGTGAAGGACAGGGAAGCCTGGTGTGCTGCAGTCCATGGGGTCACAAAGAGTCGGACACAACTGAGTGACTGAACAACAAGACAGTGAGGTCCTCCTCACCTGCTGTGACTTAGCTATGTTACATATAGTCTCACTAAGCTATTAGTGAGGCTTTCAGTAAGCGATGGGGAAGAGAATGTTGACTTGTAGTTGAAATTAGGGCCATGAAATAGAAATATAATTTCTGTGGGTTCTTTTATCCTAAACCCTTAAGTCTGTCTTTGACCACTCCATTTTTTTTTCTTTATTGCCAATGCTATGTTCTTCTCAGATGTCAACAGTGCCCTCAGGAGATGGGACGCCAGATGGCATTTGTCTGTGTTTTAATCAAAACGCCCTGTTCTCTTTGCCATGGTGTGAAGCAGCAGCATTATGTGCTGAGCAGAGACAAGAAATAATAGCAAACCTCTAGTAACTTTGCAGGATTTCAAGGACAAGAAATGTACCCAAAGGCTAGGTCAGCCTGATTCCAACTTCTGTGGAACCACCATGATTATGGAAGCAAAACCTGTCATAGTCAGCCCGAAGTCGATTCTGCGAGACAAAGTCCTAATGAGTTGATGTAGGTGGGGCTGATGGAGAGAATGATCTACAAAAAGACCCAAATGGTGGTTTCCTATGTAGCCATCTCCCCTTTACGAGCAGGGCTAAGCATTTCTCTTCTACTGGCTCATTCAGGGTTTTCAACCACTTAATGAAATGCTATTATCCCATTTTCAAAATGAGGCAACTGTGACTCAGAATTTACTCAGCTAAACCCAATAGCTAACTTTTATGAGTGCATAGTAGGTGCTATGCGTGACCTCTGTTTAATCCCTGTGGATTAGGTGGTATCACTCCTGTTTCACAGAGTGGAAAAGTGAGGCTTGCGAAAGATTAAACAACTTGTACAAGGCTCCGGAGGTGGAAAGCAGTGGAACCTGGATTCAGACCAGGCAGTCTAACTTCGGGGTTTTGCCTCTTCACTGCTTTTAGGATTTCTGAGGAGCGGAAAGAGCTATGCCCAGGACAATCTGATGGCCTCTCTGAGGCTCATCTTGCAACCATGTTAGCTCCTTAACAGGAGGGCCATGATGGCGGTAGACTTGAGTGAGGTGGAGCAGAAATAATTTTGCAGGGGGAGGGGGTCGCAAGAAACAGAAACTCACTATGTTATTTAAATATAATTTCATCTGCAGTACCAGAGACCCAAGTATCAGAGGCATAATAAAACAAAAATTTCTTTCTCTGACATACAATAGTCTTGGTTTTAGTATATAAGCATGTGTATGTGTGTGTGTGTGTGTGTGTGTGTACAGCTGGGCTTCCCTGGTGGCTCAGATGGTAAAGAATCCGCCTGCACTGTGGGAGACTTGGGTTCAATTCCTAGGTCAGGAAAATCCCCTGGAGAAGTAAATGACATGGCTACCCACTTGCCTGGAGAATTCCTTGGACAGAGGAGCCTGGCGGGCTACAGTCCATGGGGTCATCAAAGGTCATATATGACTGATCAATTTATAGTTTATATATATATATATATATATATATATATATATATATACACACACATATATTTTTCTCATATATATATATGTTCCCCTTCCATGATGGTAGTTTGTAATAGGTTAAGAAATTGCTCTTCCCCTGGGATGAAAAGCTTCACAAAGGAATGACTCTCCATTGAGAAGCTTGGGTAAATTCTTGGCTGAGATGAGGTTGTTCTTTGAAAGGGTGTCTTTTGGAAAATCTTTCAAACTTCACTCAACGTTCCTGCAATACCCATTATGGGACCTGGTGGACATATCACTCTGAGATCTATGGGGCTGACCAAAAAGTTCATTTGAGTGTTTCCATAACTGCCTAGAAAAAGACTTGAACCAATTTTTTAGCTAACCTGATACTATCCTGATGGTGGATGGCATCACCGACTCTATGGACATGAGTTTGAACAATCTCCAGGAGTTGGTGATGGACAGGGAAGCCTGGCGCGTGCTGCAGTCCATGGGGTCGCAAAGAGTCGGAAACGACTGAGCAACTGAACTGAACTGAACATATACTAACCTAATACTTCTTCTCAAACAGAGATTTTTAAAGCTCTTGCCTCTTTTTTGCTCCTTTATAATTCATTGATTAAATACTGTTGAGTACCCCAAGTGTGGCGAGTATGGTGCTAAGCATTGGGATAGAGCAGAGAGCAAGATAGTTAAGAATCTGAATACAATGGAGTGCTGTGCTAGAGATCATAATTAACTGGCATTGTCAGCCTCTTTTAATACAGCGGTTGGTGGGAGCACTGGGGGTGGGAGATGTGAGTACATGACCTTAACTGGATACATCAGGTTTGGAGTGTCTTTTAGACTGAATGCTGCAGTTGGAGTTTGCCAAAAGTCTGCTGTGTGAAGGCACTGGCCGATAAGCTGGGATGTGTAGAATGGGTGGGAATCAGTCAGGTGAAGGGAAAGTGGGGGAGTTGGGTGGGTTCTGGGCAAAAGGAAGTGACCCAGAAGTAAGACAGCAAAATGAGATTTACTTGTTTAGAAGGATGATTCTGAAAAGTGGGAGAATAGATTTCAGGAGGCAAGGCCTGGGGTAGGAGGAGATGGGAGGCCTTTGACGTGGTCAGAGAAGAGATGATCCACAAGAGGTCATGGATTTAGGAGTAGGCTAGAATAGACGGGAGTTTCCCAGGTAGCTGGGGGGTAAGGAATCTGCCTGCCCATACAAGAGACGCAGGTTCCATCCCTGGGTCGGGAAGATCCCCTGGAGTAGGAAATGGCAACCCACTCCACCATTCTTGCCTGAAGAATCCCATAGACAGAGGAGCCTGGCAGGCTACAGTCCATGGGGTCCCAAAGTTGGACAGGACTGAGCGGCTGAGCACACAGAACAGATGGAAGAAGGAGGGAGAAGAAACGTTTAACTTTTGAGTTTTCCAGTTCGGTGTTACCTTCTAGCGCACAGGCAATTCTTTTTTGCGGTTTCCTTCTATTTTCAAGTAGATAACCCCAGGAGCACTGGCCTCCCCACTTCCTCGGGGCGAATGGGTCCACTGAGCCAGGTTGTAAGGAATATTCACCCCAGGCCTTTGTTCTTAGCGGCGGTGCCCAAAGCTCTTAAGATAAGGAGGAAGCCTTGGTGGGTGTGGGGAAGACATTTCCTTAGCGTCTCGACTGCCGGCGTGCGGGTGTTGCCTTTCATCACAACCTTGCGAAAGGAAAAGGGCAAATGTCGTTTCTGGATTTTACAGAAGAGACCAGGAGTGTGTGAACTTCGCTCTCGAGGTACGTACTTCACAGTAGGTGACTGTGGGCCTGTGATTTCAAGTCTACCTGCTGGCCCAGGTGCCTCAGCCCGCTGAGAGTCCTGCACTCCCCAGGGTTCGGTTAAGGCCAGCCTGCCCTACCTGGAGCTCGGTTAGCGCCTAACACCTCCAGCATCCACAGGAAGGGATTACGGTAGGGTTTTTTCTTTTTTTCTTCCTCTCGTACAAAAGTTCTCGTCTCCCCCACTAGAGTCAGGCACACGCCTCCTAAGCCAGACCACGTGTCGCAGGTACAACTTTCTTTTTCTTTTTTTTTGGCTTTTCCCCTCCCCCGTCCCTCTTTCCTCTCCGCCTTAGGTGGCAGGAAAAGACTTTACCTCGGACCAATCCCACCGATGCCGAGCCGCGCGCGCGCCCGCCAACCCGAGCGCCTTCTCTCCACGTCATTGGCCACCTCCACCTATGCATAGTGACAGGCAGCATCGCGGACCTATGGAGGAAGGAGGCGGAGGCCTCTCGGCCCTCCCAGAGCTGCTTTGTTAGGGGCTTCCTCGCCGTTCCCCGGCCTCTCCTCCGCGCCTCCGCTGGCCTTCCCCTTTCCTCCTCGGATTGAGCCGCCAGAACCTGGTCAGAAGGCAGCCTCCGCGCGCGCGTGCGCGCGGGTGCGAGCATCTCTCTAAGCTGCGCGCGCGCGCGCGGAGGGGAGGCTATGCCGTCCGGGTACCCAGCGTGCGCCTGCTGGAGCGCCGGAGCCCAACTCCGAACGCCCCGCTCCTGTATCCGCCGCCTCTGATTGGCCGGCTGGAGGCGGAGCGATTGTCAGGCGGCCCAATCGGAGCCTGGTTTCCCACGGGCATCCCGTGGCCCCGCCCCCTGAAGCTGCCGGCCGAGGCCCCGTGACGGCTCCCATTGGCGGACGGCGCAGGGGGGCCCGCTCGGAGCGCGGCTGGGCTCTCGCAGCGCCGCCGCCGTCGGGCGCGCAGCTCTGCAGCGCGGCGAACGCCTCGGCGCGCCCGCAGCCCCCCGGAGCCCGGCGGCCCCGCATTGTCCCTGGCCCGGTGGCCGAGATCCGGGACGAGCGTCGGGGGGTGAGTACCGCGAGCCTGGGGAGGGAGAGCTGGCTGGCCGGAGCTAACCGGGAGAGGACGGCGATGAGGAAGCCCGGAGCCCCTCAGCCCGTGACGGGCTCGTCCTGACCCCAGTCTCCCCCCTGCACATTGGGGCTCCCGGCGGGTCCTAGCTCCCCCCCTGATCGGGGTTTGCTCGTATTGTTTTCACGTTTCCCACACTCGGGGAGGGAGGTGGGGAGCTGGAGAGGGAAGCGAGGGAGACATCCATCGCTCGAGGGAGCAGTCCGGAGGGAGACGGGCAGTGGCGCCCAGGTGCCCGGCGCCGAATGGAAGTGACAGTGTCCAGGCGTTGGCATTCGGTCTTCCCGGCAGCGGGAGGTCAGCGCTGACCTGCGGCGACGACGGCACTTTGTATGTGTCGGCTGATTTTTTTTTATCAACTTCGGGGAGGGCGTGCGTGTGCTTGCGTGTGTCTCGTGTGTGTGTTTGCGTTCCTGACTTGTGCACCCCGCCAGGCCTGGGTTTTCCGCGACGCTGACTGGGCGCTCACCTTGGCGATCGGTGCTACGCTCGGGACCCGACTCGCGGGGCGGAGAGCCTGGGGGATCGACACACAGGGCCGGGAGCCCCCGGCGGACCCGGGAGCAGACGTTTACAGCGGCCTTCTGCGCGCGCGCAGACAATGACGGATCCGGGCGCGGGATCCTGGGGTCTGTGCATCGGGTCCTCGCTCGGGATCGCGGTCCCGCCTCGCTTGCCTGCGGGCCCGGTCGTTCGGATGCTGCTGCGCCGCGCGGCTCATCGCTCAGCTGGGGGACCCGTGTGGGGCCCCGCTTTTGTTTACAGACCTCGCTATTGGGCGAGAGCTGCGCGCCCGCTCCCCCGGCCCCGGCCGCTGCCGCGCGCCCCCTCCGAGCTAGGAGAAGTTGGTGCATGCTGTCAGGCGACGCCCCCTCCCCAGGCCTCCTGGGCGAGATGCTGCGGGGGAACAGACGCCCAGACGGCGCCTTCGTGCCCAGGCCCCGCTGCGCACGGCTTTCCCAGGCCCCCTTACATCAGAGGCCCTCTCAGTTTGGCCGCCGTCGGGGCGCTGATGGAGTCAAGCTCACCTCCCTTCCAGTAGCATCCTCTGGCTTCGTCCCCGAGCCGGCCCAGGTTGATGCTGAGTCTCCTTCTTCCTGCATGTTGGCAAGTCTTGAAGGACGCGCGAGCCCTGGCGGACGCTGGCCAATTGGTGCCCGTTTCAGTGGTACCCACGCGGCCCCGCGGATCAGCTGTGGGGCATTCCTGAGTCAGAGCAGCCCGGATCGGGTTACCCACGCGTGCTGACTTGGCATCCACTTTGTCTGAGCTGGAGTAGAGGTTGAGAGCCTGAGCACTGAGGTTAAAAAAAAAAAGGCAACAAAAAACCTGGCTTCCAGTGCCTGCTCAGCGTCACCCACGAGCTGGGTGATATGTTCCAGACCGAGCGACTTTAGTCTCCTTGCGTCTCAGTTTCCAAGTCTGTAGAGTGGGGATAATGAGTGTCCACGTTTGTGGGGGTGGGGAATTAAAGGACAATATAAAGCAACTGGCAGTTACGGCCACAGAGAGACACTGGAATAATGTTTCCCTGTTAGAGGGAATCTACTGCAGAGGATGGCCCCGCATCGCTTACCCTTGCTGTAGCTTTCCATTCTCCCAACTCGTATTTTATTTTAAAAAGCATGTAGGATTGCCGTTTTCAGCTTCAAACAGGCCTTGTTTTACTTGACCTTAGATTTCACTCTATTTATCTAATCCCTTAGGGTTTTTTTTTTTTGCATTTCCATTAGGTTTTCTTTTTTAATTTTTTCCCATTAGCTTTTAGTTGTTTCTTCTTCCTTCCTTCTTCCTTGAGGTTATGCTGAGACCCAGGTCTGTGTTTGGAGGAGGAAACCTTGTCTAAGTGGGACGCTTCTACAGCTAAACCAATGGCCGCTGTGCAAAGTGAATAATACCCGGATGGAGGGAGGTTTGAACAAAGAGATACCTGGAGGCCGGGAGGAACGCTTCCTGGTAGAAGTGAAATTTGAGCTGAGTCTTGTAGCAGAAGTTTGGTAAACGGCTAGTTTCTGGAACATGGTCTTTTGTACCCTGCCGTAAAGAGTTCTGCCAGCCAGGTTGTCTTGGAGCCGTAAACACCGAAGTTGCTAGGTAATTATCTTTGCATGGAAGAGAAATATACCTTAGGAGGAGGCTGTTGTCTAACTTGGGAGTGTGGAAGAGGAGAATTGATTTCATTAAGTATCTGCAAAATGCTGTCAATGTGTTTTGACTTGTTTTTCCTCTGGTCCACCAGCTGAGCACTGCTGATTTCCTCCAGGCGAAGAGACAAGCTGCGGTGTACAGGAAAAACAAAAACAAGGAAAAACCTGTCCGTAATCAGATGAATAAATAGTTTGAAAAAGACAATATCGGGTTCGGCTACAGAATCAGATACTGAAAAAGAAATGCTCTGGTTTCAACACTCTTGCCTGTTGGGGCAAATTATTGAGCTGGGTGCTATAACACCTTATTTGAATGTAGATCCCAGGGGCCATTACAAGCAAGCAAGCAAGCAAGCCAACAAACCAACAAACAAAAACTAAGGGGGCAGGGGGAGCTTGCAGGTTGTCTAGTGGGGGCAGAAGTCCACAGGGACTGTTTCCCACAGCCTCTGTCCCCCTGGGCCTGCCTCTGTCACCCTAAGCAGATGTAGGAGTGTGGCATTATTGCTAGATGCCAATGCATAAATGTGGTAATCCATTTAAAATTCCACTCGCAGAAATGAACCCAACCCTTCTTGCACTTGTTCTGGGAATTCTCTGGCCCTAGGGATGCTTGAAGGCAGCTTTGCCCCCTGCTGCTGTCTGGGGATCAAGTCAGTGGGGGGCCTAGACTTTAAAGCGGACATGTGGTTAGGAAATCTCATTAGCTGACAATTCAGCTCCACTCTAATGTGCATCCAGAGAGCTAGGACAAAGACTTTCTCTCCTGTCCCCCTGCAGTTGTCTCTCCCAGCTCCCCACTCTTCCAGCGCAGCCCCAACAGACCAGAAAGGAGTTTTGGTGCTGGTCTACCCACCCCCCCCGGAAATTCCTGCAGTTTTGTGGACAAGCAGATGGAACCCCAGACCTTCTGGAGCGCTGGGGCAGGAATTTATCCCCAAAGCTTTGCAGAGGGCCAGCTAGTTGTGCCTGTTAACCCCTCTTCCTTCCTTTCCACATTGCAAGGAGCTTGCTTACTGCCTATGAGACAGCACTTGAATAGATGGTGAAGTCCAAATCTGTGCTTTCCCAAATGAGAGAAGCAGGTAGGAGCGTGGGGTGGGAATCACATCCAGGTCTTGCCCAGAAGCCAGTGATGGAGGGGAACGTCTGCCTGAGAGTACATGAGGCACGGGGGTGAGCGGGCAGAGAGAATTTGATTCCTGTGAGCAGTGTGCAGAGTCCTGTGGAATTCCTGAATCCCAACAGGTTTGGGCTTGTGGTTGAGAAATATCCTTATTTTCACTCTGTCCAGTCATTTGGACTTCTGTATCTTTTTTTTTTTTAATGTTATTAAAATTTTTAAAAATTGGAGTCTAATTGCTTTGCAGTGTTTTTTTCTGCCCTATGACAATGTGAATCAATAAATCTCCTCTTTCTTGAGCCTGCCTCCCCTCTCCCATCCCACCTCTCCAGGTGGTCACAGAGCACCACGCTGGCCTCCTTGTATTTTACAGCAGCTTCCTGTTAGTCATCTATTTTACACATGATAGTGTATATATGTCAGTGTGGACTCCTATATGTAAAACAGTGTTTCACTGGGAATTTGTGTGTATATGTGTGTGTACATATTACATACATGCATATATACGTACTCATTTTTTTCCTAAATTTAGCAAATGGGTAGAATGTTTCTGCATTATGTCCTCCCTTCTCCGCCCCATTCCATGTAGGATGAGAGAAAAACAGATTTGCAAGGTCCCCAGCACAATTCTTTGGTTTTTCATGATTCACATTTCATCTCTAAATATCTGGTTTTATGTAATTAGTAATTCCTATTAAAAAGTTTTTTCGGTTGTCATTGTAGGCCAGTCACTTATTTAAAAACTTTTAAATAAGTAAATAAAGGAGGCATTCAAAAAATAAAGCAGTACTCAGGCAGGAACAGAAGTTTTGGAAAAGAAAACAATGTTCTAGTGTAAAAGGTACAAAGTATTAGCAGGCGGGTTTTTCCCTTCCATCCCCTTCCCAACCTCCACACCCCTCCAGCACAAGACTTTCACTGTTCCTATGGTCTCCAGGGAGCTCATTAAGCCATCCGTAAAGGCCTAGACTGTGGGTATACAGAGATTCCTCCCAGACTTGTGTGAGATTCTCCTAGAAGACGTTGGAGCTCTTGCTAGGTGGAGAGAGATTCTTCCCTCATTGGGCTGAGGCTGAGTTTAGAGCCTGGCATTTGGCTGCAAGTGGGGTCTCAGTTCATGGAAATAGCAGCAAGAAAGAAAAAACAAGAAAAAAAAAACACAACCAGAACAAAACCCCGGCACAACGTAAGAGCCAGTCAATTGCGTACATCCGAAGGAGGCTGAGCACAGTGATGATTCAGGGAGCAGCCCAGTGGGAGGAAAGGTGCTTTCAGCTGAGCACTTTCTGAATAGCCCAAGGCCCTCTGAGTCTTGGCGTTGTCACAGGGTTTCTTTCCGTACAGAGAGGTTTGGGTGTCCCAGTTTGGAGCCAAGCAGGAAGGTACCACGTGTGTTCTGGCTCGCGCCGCTTTGAAGGAGGAGAGATGAAAGGGAGGGGGGCATTGTCCTCGGTTAAAAAACAACCCCCCCCCGATTATTTATTTCCAGCTTTTACAGCAGAATGTTGTTACAGTCTAAAGGATAAGTATTTTGATGAATAAACAGATGAGTGAGGAGGTAGGTAATTGGAAGACGGTTGACCTGGGACACAGCTTGGCTTGGGATGGGTGAGGAGTGGATGGGGAATTAGGTGAAGGAGATTCAGTTGCTTGTCCTGAAAAACTCCAAACACAGTTCTCTGTGCCCTGGGAGGAGGCAGGATATCCTGCCTTCTCAGTGGCTGCCCTTCTGTCGCCCGAGTGCCCGCCTCCTGGGCCAGGAGGGGCTAACCTTT